GGGAGGGACATGGGGATCTTAGACAGTGAGGCATGGTCACACCCTGCCCTTGGAGAGAGGACGTTAGCCAGGCCGAATGGATTTGATGGAGCTCATTAAAGAACATAAAGCAGTGGTGACAATTCACGTGACCATTTTTTTTTAAGAGGAATCTAAATCTATGACTACCTTTCTGCCGGTTGGATGACACAGGAGACAGGAGTGCTCAGAGGTACCATGCTCATGAAGGACTTTTTGAAGCTAAAAGATGTGGAATCACCATATTTACTGTAGCCAATACATTAATGTCTACAGATAATGCTTTCTATTAGAAAATAATTTTCCAGAAAGAGAAAACCCACCTGGATCCATTAGCATAGCCTTTATTCAGACTTTATAGCGTGAGGGGAGCACCCAGGTGAGTTTCTGTGGAGAAGTAAGAGCAGGAGGATTGCACAGGGTAGACTGGGGCCAATCTGTCGACACTCAACTTGTTCATGGAAGAGTTTGCCATTGAGATTCTTATAAGCAGTTCACGCCCCTGCTGCATTAGACACAGGACAGTGTGCAGGGCTGTTACACAGTGCGCGAGTGAGCAGACACTGATTAGATGTTCCAGGCTTAGTAATGGGAGTGGAGAGAGGAAGCTGGGACCCAGGTCTCACAAGGACCAGTGGAACCTTTGGAAAATTTTATAGAGTTTTTACATGTTATTTAACATATTTGTCCTAAAAAGCAATTGTAGCTTCCTACATGACTCCTTAGGGTTGCATCTAACATAAACTGTTTCTGCATTTGTTTCCCAGCTAAGATTGATGTGAATCTTTTAATTTGCTTTTAATTTTAACAGTATGTAATATTATTTTCTTTCTTATTTATCTAGGCTGGAGCCAATGTCCTCCTCCAAGACGTTAATGGGAATATTCCACTGGACTATGCCATGGAGGGGACCGAATCCAGCTCTATCCTGCTGACCTATTTGGATGAGAACGGTAGGGGAAGCTTTGAAACACTGCAGGAAGAGATAGATTGGTAGAATTACAAGTGACTGTTTGTATTTACAGGCATGTTTATGTGACTTTGCTGGGCACAGCTTCCCTAAATGATGTCAAATAAGGAACTTCCCTCTGCAGCTCCTGCTGCCGTCTGCGCCCTTCACTATGGCTCAGTAACACAGCTTTGTTAAAGCCAGCAGAAATCTGGAGGCCAATAAGGAAGGAACATTGTCACAGGCATCTAGTGTCTGTAATTAGTGGAATTGGGTTTGTAATTATAATCTCTTCTCCCCTGGGAGGGAAGGGACATGAACCAGCACAAATGGATTTTGAGCTAATCACAGCAAGGTCATCTGAAGTGCATTCTCAGAGGGGCAGGTAGCCGTAGTAAGAATTACATACAGCCAAGTAACTGAGAGCTCAAGTCCAAGGCAGTTCACGCATTGCCCCCCAAATCCACTCTCTGTGCCACTTAGACAGACAAAGGTATTCAGAAGGAAAGACTGCGATCACTGTACCAGGCTGAGAGAAGCAGGCTCATCCCCCAGATGCTCTCATTGACAGAGGGTGAGCAGTTACAGACGCAGCCTGGGATTCCACCTGTCAGTGCAGCCTGGGATTCCACCTGTCAGTACAGCCTGGGGAAGGAGAGAGCTCCTTGAATCCCTGGACCCAAGGTGGTGTCACAGAATTGTGCCCTTATCTCCCTTGCATTTTATAAAGTAACAAGGAAATTTGAATCCCTTGGAGGATGAGCCTGTGGCCAGTTGAAAAGTTTAGTTTGTAAGAGCTGTAGGCTGCTGCTTGTGAGTCTTCCACTTGAGCCCCTCCAGAGAAACTCACACCTGCCTTGTTCTTCCTTGTGCGCTTTGCTGCCCCCAGATGCCTGTGTCAGGAAGGTTTCCCTGGAGGTGGCTTAGAACGCTAATAATGAGGAGTCCTTGACTAGTCCCATTAACTGTGAAAGCTGTGGGTGTGGTGGCCTTGCCTGAGTCTGGGGTGGGTGATAACGATGTGGAAACAGCTGTGGTGCTGAGGGTTCTCAGGTTGGGGTTGGGTGGGGCTGATGGTGGGGTGGATCCAGGGTACCACACTACAGGTTCCTCACCCAGAGACTATCACTCACGGGCGTGCTCACTGCCTGTCTTCAGCTCTTGTTACGTGTGCTTATTGCAGACATATTCCATTACCTCTAAAGGGAATGAAGCTTGAAGTCATGCAGATTTCACTTTGGGGAAGTTAATTATTTGGAACTTTGCCAAACTTCACATGCAGTGTGCAATTTTTAATTTTCATGAAAAACTAGCTGGTGGTGGCTCTAGTTAATAACACTGCATGTAGTGTCCATGTAACAACGCACTGCAAGGGTGGATGTTTGGTTAAGTGTTCTTCTGACAGAATTGTAATGATAACAACAGTAGATAAACTGGGAACCTGGAGGTGAAGACTATGTGGATGGTGAATAAATGCTGCTGGTTTCTCTGAGCCACACTGAGTTGCATACAACCACAGGGAG